GGGCTTCCTGGAGCTTGGGGGTGGCCTCTTGAGGGCCTGCTGGCGGTCTCGGGAAATCTTGGAGCGAAGGGCTCGAAGTGTCAGTTCGTGTTCCCCCTCTGGGGCCTCTCTTGGGCCCCTCTTGGGGCCTTGTTGTGCCGTCCTGGGGGGCCTCTTGGGCCGTCTTGGGGCCATGTTGGGTCGTCCCGCATCATACGTTTCCCATATTCATGCTTCAAGCACCCAAAGATGACGACAAGCAAAGGTTTTCGGAGGACCCGCTCGGATTAGTAACATAATCTGCGGGCCCCACAAGGAAAGGGCACCCCGGCTGAGACTTCCTCGCAATTCACTCACAGCGAGGCTCCCGCCTCATATTTCCTACATGTTCAGGCCTCAAGAGCCCCAAAGTGACGACAAGCACAGGTTTTCGGAGGACATGTTCGGATTAGTCACATAATCTGCGGGCCCCAAAGGAAGAGGGCCCCCGCCTGAGATTTCTTGGCAATTCACTCGCAGGCGAGGCTCCCTCCTCATACTTCCTCCAAAGTCAGGCCAGGGGAGCCCGAGCGTGACGACAGTTACAGGTTTGCGGATGACCTGCAAGAGTTACCAACGTTTAAATGCGGACCCCATAGAGAGGGGGCTCCCGCCTGAGACTTCCTCGAGATTCACTCACAGACGACGTTCATGCTTGATACTTCCTCCATGTTCAGGCATGAGGACCCCCTACGGTGCATCGACAAAATGTTGCACCACTTGGTGATGTCAAGAAAGCAAGCCGATTTTGCAATGGATGTTCGCTTCCCCCCCCCTCCCCCCAATCTTAACATTGGCTGCGGTCCCGGGTTCATCGAAACGGCTCGGTGGTGCAACAGTCTGTCGCGAGCCCTGGGGGGGCGCCAAGGGACCTTTGCCATGTGCCCAATATTAAGATCAGGGGGAGGGGGGGGGAGGAGCAACCCAATACAGCTGACAATGCGCGGCAAAAGTGGTGCAACATTTCGTCGACGTACGGTAACAGTGACGACAGTTACAGGTTTGCGGATGACCCGCTCGGATTAGCAACATGAAGTGCGGGCCCCATTGGGCGGGGGCTTCCGGCTGAGATTTCCTCGCAATTCACTCACAGACGAGGCTCCCGCTTGATACTTCCTCCATGTTCAGGCATGAGGACCCCCAACAGTGGCGACAGTTACAGGTTTGCAGATGACCCGTTCGAATTGCCAACATGAAGCGCGAGCCCTATTGGGAGGGGGTCCCGCCCGAGACTTCCTCGCAATTCACTCACAGACGAGGTTCCCGCTTGATACTTCCTCCATGTTCAGGCATGAGGACCCCCAACAGTGGCGACAGTTACAGGTTTGCAGATGGCCCGTTCGGATTGCCAACATGAAGTGTGGGCACCATATGAGAGGGGGTTCCCGCTTGAGACGTCCTCACAACTCACTTACGAGGCTCCTGCTCGAGACCTCCTCGATGCTCAGGCCAGCGGAGCCCAACCGCGATAATATGATGATGCTGATGCTGATGCGGATGCTGCTGATGATGATGACGATGATGACGATGATGATGCTGATGCTGATGCTGCTGATGATGATGATGATGATGATGATGATGATGATGATGATGATGATGACGAGTGGTGAGTCATGGTGATGATGATGGTGGTGATGATGATGGTGATGATCATACTGTGGATGCGAGGGAGTGCGTGAGTGAATAGTGGCAAGCGAATGGGTGAGTGAGTAGGGGAGTGATGATGATGATGCTGGTGCCATGATGATGGCTATGCTGGTGATGATGATATCGCGATGTTGGTGAGGACGATGCTGATGCTGATGCTGATGATGCTGATGATTCTGATGATGATGGTAATGGTGATGGCGATGGTGAGGTGTGAGTCAGTGAGTGAGTGAGTGAGTGAGTGAGTGAGTGAGTGAGTGAGTGAGTGAGTGAGTGAGTGAGTGAGTGAGTCAGTGAGTCAGTGAGTCAGTGAGTGAGTGAGTGAGTGAGTGAGTGAGTGAGTGAGTGAGTGAGTGAGTGAGTGAGTGATGTGGAGAAGAGAGGGGTGGGGGTGACAGGATTGTGCGGTGTGTCCAGGAAAAACCTGGGAGAGGAGGAGCACTGGGAGGAGGAGAATGAAGACGAGGAGCAAGGGGAGGAGCTCCCTGCCCATCACCAGTTCTAACTCATGTTCCAACCTCGTCTCTTCATGCTTGCTCCCCCGCCCTCCTTCCGTATCTTTCTCATCACACAGGCTCAAGGGTGTCGTTGGCGGGTGCATCGGCCGCCGTTCCTGTCAGGGTTCCGTTTCGCAGCGACGGCCCTGGCATCTTATTTAACAGTTGTTTTCTGAGGTGTAGCAAAGCCAAATGTCATGCCAGGGCTGCGTTCTCTCTTCTGCGTCTCCCTCCCGCCCCGCGCCCACGCCTCCGACGCCTTCTGCTCCCGAGTTCTCTGGGGCCTTTCGCTCCCCATGGGCCACGCGTGGGCCGAGATTTCAGGCGAAGCGGAGCGAGCCTTCAACATCTCGAATATATATATATATATATATATATATATATAATAATATTAATAATAATAAATATGTATATATGTGTATATATACAACTATATTTATGTATAGTACATATTATATACATGTGTGCAAGTCTCGTATACATGCATACCTGTATGTTTGCACAGGCATGTATCTAGATATGTGTATGTATGCGTGTATATATATATGTGTGTATATATATGTGTAAATACATATGTATCTATATGCAAATCTACAGGACTGCATTGGCGCTTCGCGCCATGTACCTTGGTCCTTGGAGTTTCACGTGCAGGCGGCGTGCGTGCGAGTGTACATTCGCACATGAATATGCGCATGGATGTGTACACGCGCACGTGCATGCACGTTGTCCATCTACACATTTATAACTATAGCTATATGAACGCATGCATGTTATCCAGGTACAAACATACATAAGCTACCTATACACATACATGCATACATACATGCATGCATGCATACGTACATGCATACATGCATACATACATACATACATACAGGCACATACACATGCATACATGCATGCCTACCCACATACATACATATGTGTGCATATGCGCATGCTGTTTCGCGCACGCACATATCTACCTAGAACGTCTAACGATGGGTGCGCATACATATGAATCACGTGTACTTGAATCTGTCTACATGTACACACATGTATGTATGCATGGATGTGCACATACATGTGCACGCGCCTGCGCGCGCGGGGGGAGTTATGCATCAACTCGCCAGCCCAACGGGCCAGAGGCGTGCTAAGAGCTCCTGTAAAAGGTTTCGAACGAGTCTAGTTCGCGCGCGCGTGGCGGCCCCTGGGGGTGCCCGGTCCAAAAGTACCCCGGAATTCCTGGGGTCCGTCTTCAAGGCTTTCAGGATCGTCTCAGAGGGCCCTAAGAGGCCCCCAATATGGTCCAAGAGGGGTCCGAGACGCCCGATGATCGCTGCAAGACGCCCAAGATGGCCTCCAGACGGCCCAAGAGGCCTCCAAGAGCACTCCCACGAGGGCCCCAGAGGCAAACATCAGGGCCTTTAGGGCGTCGCGGGGACGCAGGTGGAGCCCCTGGGAAGATCCTGGGGCGATTTTGAGGCGGTAGGTTCGTAATCTGAGTTTGGGCTTCCTTTCCTGGGCTTTTTGGGAGCCTTCTTGAGGCTGTCTTCGCCCGTTGTGGTCGTCTTGGGGGCCGTTTTGGCATTCTCTTGGGCCGTCTAAGTGCTTTTTGGGGTCGTTTTGGGAGCCTTTGGGGGGCTTCGTGGGCAGTCTTGAAGCCCGCGTGGGTTGTTTTGACCCGCTCTTGGGACGGTTTGGGGCATTTCTTGGGCCGTCTTGGAGCGTGGAAGCGCGAGAAAACGAGGACGCCGAAATTCTTCCAAAATTGAGGGGAATGGGCGATTTTAAGTTATGTGGGCTCAGCCCGGAGGCCTCGTGGACGTGTGTGGGTCAGTTTTAAATGCTTCTTGGGCGTTTTGGTGTGCTGTGGAGCTGTCGACGAGATATCTTGGGCAGTATTGGAGGCCTCTTGGGACCCTCCGAGAAGACCCGAAGGCCGACGGAACCCTTTGCAAGGGCGTCCGAGCAGCCCTTGGGGGCATCCGAGCAGCCCAGGGAATCCGAAATTCGTTCGGGGGAGGGCCTGTCCGGGGTCCCCAGCCTTGTGTATACATATATATATATACAGGAATATATGTACATCAACAGATATACATGTATTAGTGTTGTATGTGTGTATGTGTGTGGTGTTTGTGTGTCCTCCTTCTCTGCGCGCGCGCGGCCGCGACTGCTCTGGCTCAGTGGTGTGTATGTGCACTTGTGTATGTATGTATGCGTGTTCTGTTTCGGCTTCACGCCCATTCAGGCTGGTCAATTTGACTAGAGCGTAGCCCGTCATCCTTCTGCTTGGCCCACCGAGTGCAACCCATCGGCGCGTCGGGGAAACAAGTGTGTGTGTCTGTGTGTGTGCGTGTGGGAGTGTGCATGTTGCGCCCGTCGTCCTCTGCTGCGGCGTCCCCCAGGTTGTGCGCCTCCGTGTGGGAGCGCAGACCGCCTGCCCAGGTCGCACTCTTCCTCGCCTGCCCTCTCGGGTCGCACTCTCTCTTCCAGCTCCGCTGTGGCACCGGTCGGACCCGCACCCGCAGCAGTCCGGCCCTTCTGCAGGGAGAGTGCAGGCCCGCGTCGAGCACCATTTTTTCCGTGCCTGCTGTTGCCTCCCTCCTGGCCTCCCTCGCGTTCTGGCCCCCCCCCTCCACATCCCCCTCCTCCCACCCCCCCCCCGCTCTGACCACCCTTCGTCTCCATCCTTTCTCTTCGCCGCCGCCCCCTCCCCTCTATGCACTGCTCTCCTTCCCATCCTTTCCTTCCTTCCTATCCTTTCCACCTCGGCCCCCCTCTCCGCAGTAGCTATCTCCTCTCCCCCGCCGCCCCCGCGCCCGCCGCCGCCCCCCGAACCCCCAAGAGAGAGAGCAGGCGAGAGCGACAGCGCGCGCACGGCGCGCCTGACGCGCCTGGAGCTCTCCGGCGACCAGGATCGGAAGCCGCTCGATGGGGCCGCCAACGATGCGGGCGTTGGGCAGGCCCAGGCTGATGAGAGGCCTGTTTTCCACCACCACCACCATAAGTTGGAGGGGGGAAGGAGGTGGAGGATGAGGAGGAGGAAGAGGAGAAGGAGGAGGAGGAGGACCCCCTCCCCCTCCTACTTATGGTGGTGGTGGTGGAAAACAAGCCCATCAGCTGAGGGTCCGAGCCGGGGATCTGCAGTCGAGGCGCGCGGGGCCCTCTCGGAGCGTCCCCGAGCGCTCCGGGGATCGGCGCGGCGCCGAGGCGGCACCCGGCTGTCGTGGGCTCGCATGCCCAGGGCATGCGCCGTGCGCGTGCCCACGCGGCGTGGTGGTGATGATGATGATGATGATGATGATGATGATGATGATGATGATGATGATCATGATCATGATGATGATGATGATGATGATGATGATCATGATGATGATCATGATGATGATGATGATGATGATGATGATGATGATGATGATGATGATGATGATGATGATTCGTTGTCGTCGTCTGCGTCGTCCATGTCGTCGTCGTTGTTGTTGCTGTTGGTGCTGCTATTGTTGGTGTTGGTGGTGTTTTTGTTGTTGTCGTTCTGGTTGTTGGTGGTGGTGGTCGTGTCATTGTTGTTGAACTCTCAGCATTGATATATTATTATTATTATTATTATTGATCCCCCCCCTTCCGGTGACCATTGCATTTTTTCAATTATCCCAGTGCGACCTTACCTAGGAGTTGGAGCATCTAGGAAAGCAACATCTACATCTAAACCGACAGCTACATCAACATCTACACCTGCATCTTCATCCACATCAACATCAACAGCGAGACTCACATCTACATCTACACCTACATCTACACCTACATCTACATCTACATCTACACCTACACCTACATCTACATCTACATATACATCTACACTTTCGCATTGGTTTTGTTTTTGCTTTGCATTGCCTTGCCTTTGCTTTTGCTTTTGCTTTTGCTGTTGCTGTTGCTTTTGCTTTGATGTTGTTCTTGCTTTTGCTTGATTTTGTTTTTGCTTTGCCTGCGCACAAGCACACACACACACGCGCGCATGTTTTCGCATTCACTCACCCGCTGTGTTTGAGAATGCTCCGTATCCGGTCTACTACCGCACGACTTGGCCATCTTGGGCGCCTCTTGGGCCGTCTTGGGACGTTTTTGGGACGTTTTTGGGGGCCTCTTGGGAGCCTCTTGGGCCGTCTTGAGGCGGTCTTGGGGGCGTTCACAAATTATTTCCCAATCGCGCTCTCGCGCGGGACGTTCTCACAAATCATGTATGCATCGCGCTCTCGCGTGGGACTTCCTCGGAATTTATTCAGACGATGCGCCATCGGCGCTCAGGAATCACGCTCTCGCTCTGGCTTTTCTCACGATTTACTTTGGAATCGCGCTGTCGCTCGAGACTTTCTCGCGATTCATGCAGAACCCACGCTTCAGCAACCCGCCTGCTTGACCTCGTCACCTGGCCCCGCCTTCCCGACCTGCCCGCTATGGGTCTGCCCACTCGATCTGCCCGTCTGGTTCTACCACTTGTTTTCTGCTCCTTGTCCCCCTCGTGCTAATTTCTCTCGGTGCTCCATTCTTCTCTTTCCTTGTTTTAGGGGCTGCACTAAATGCACGTGGCAGATAAGGAAGATATACCCCCAAGGGGGTACAATCGAAGACGACGAGGGCGGGTACCGAGGGCTTGGGATATAAGTATTGATTGGCACGTGAGCAGATAGGAGCGAACAGTCTTCAAATGATTGTCGTCGTCGTCGTCGTCATTCTCCTCGTCGTCGTCCTGGACGTCGTCGTCGTCGTCATTGTCGTCGTCGTCGCTGGTGTCGCAGTCGTCGTCGTCGTCGTCGCTTCCCTGGCGTCGTCGCTGCCGTCGTCGTCTTCGTCGTCGTCGTCGTCCTTGCCTGTCGCCGGTGCGGCCGGGAAGGGAGGAGGCAGGCGGCGCGGGCGGGCGCGCGCGCGCGGGCGGGCGGCCAGGCGGGCGGCCGGGGCGGGCGGCCGGGCGGGCGCGGGAGCGGCCGCGTGCGGGCGCGCACGCGCGGGGGCGCGCACGCGGGCGGGCGAGCGCGCGGGCGGGCGAGCGGTCGGGCGTCGTCTCGTCGTCGCCGTCGCCGTCGCCGTCGACGTTGCCGTTGCCGTTGTTGCCGTCTTCGGCCGTGTCGTCGTCCGTGTCTTCGTGTCGTCGTCGTCGCCGTAGTCGTAGTCGTAGTCGTAGTCGTAGTCGTATGTCGTCGTTGCCTTTGCCCGCGGCGGAGCGACGTGCCGAGTGCGTATATTTTTGTGTTCACTCTCGCGGCGTTGCCACGTCGAATGCACTAGTGCAGTTTGTTTTTCGTTGTGCGGCTTTGCCGCGTGGCGCGTAAAGTTGTGTTCCATATTTGTTCGCCGCCCTGCTGTTGCCACATTGCGAATGGAGTGTGGTTGTGTTTGCTCCCGCCCCGCGGCGTTGTCACGTGGCGAATATGATATTTGTTATTTAGCCCCTCCCAGGCCTTGCCACGTGGTTAGTGGAGCGAAATCGTGCATTTTCTGGTCTGCGGCGTTGCCACGTGACGATTAGAGTGGAGTTATGTCGTTTTTTCGCCACCCATGTCGTTGCCACGTGGCGAGTGGAGTGGGGTAATGCGTGCTTGCCCGTCAGGCGTTGCCAGGTGGTGCGCAGAGTGCTGCGTTTTGCCATCCGTGTGTCGTCATGTGGCGCGCAGGGTGGAACAGCATTGGTTCGCCCCCATGAGCTTGCCACGTGGCGAGCAGAGTGCAATAGTTGCCCCCTAGGCGTTGCCTCGTCGCGAGCACGAGTGGGATCGTAGTTCGTCGCTCCTCCCCCGCGGGCGGCCACGTGGCGAGCTGACTGGAGCAGTCTGGCTGTTCGCCTCCCCCGGCGTCGCCGCGCGGCGATCAATGCACTGTCATGCCATTCCGCACCGCAGCCGCTGCCATGTGGCGACCTGGAGTGGACCAGTATTGGGTTCGCTGCCGCGCGGTGAGTCGAGCGGAGTCGCAGTTTTGGTCGCCCCACAGGCGTTGCCAAGGTGGAGCACCATGCTCGTCTGCCTCCGGGCGCTGCCACGCGGCGGGTCGAGCGGAAGAGCATGTTTTGCCCCGCCCCGCTGCGTCGCCGCGTGACGGGTAGAGTGGCGTGTTCCCCCCCTCCCCGCAGGCGTTGCCACGTGGCGTGTAGAGTGGAGTAGTACTTGTTTCCCTCCCCGCAGGCGTTGCCACGTGGTGATCACTGTGTTATCATATGGTTCGGCCTCGCAGCCGTTGCCGTTGCCATGTGGCGAGTGGAGTGGACTAGTATTTGGTTCGCTGCCACGTGGTGGGCAGAGTGGAGTCGTACTTTTGTTCGTCCACAGGCGTTGCCACGTGGCGAGTAAAGCTGGAACAGCATGTTTGTCTGCCTCCAGGCGCTGCCACGCGGCGAATCGAGTGGAATAACATTATTGTACCGTCTCGGTGCGTTGCCGCGTGACGGGCAGAATGGAGTATTCCCCTCTCCCCGTAGGCGCTGCCACGTGGCGAGTAGTGTGTTATAATATTGTTTTGCCTCGCAGCCGTTGCCGTTGCCATGTGGCGAGTGGAGTGGACTAGTATTTGGTTCGCTGCCGCATGGTGGGTAGAGTGGAGTAGTACAGTCGGGGCCCTGTAGAAGGAACCCTTTTCGTTGGGGAGGGGCTCCGTGTTCCTTAATTGTTTCGCAGCTTGCCTTGGATTTCCCTTAGGCTTCCGAGAAGAAATCGAAGTTCAACTTATGGAAAATAGGGGCCTCGTTCCTTATTTAGGGTTCCTTAGGTCAACGCCTCGACTGTATTCTTGTTCGTCCACAGAGGCGCTGCCACGTGAGGCGCTCCAGAAAGGGCCTCGCCGTCGAAGAGATTCGGCGATCGAGTGCGCTGTCACCTCTTCCTCGGCGAAAGGCGGCGGAAGGGCGGCGGAAGAAAAGCGAGGCCGCCTCCGCCGGCGGAAGCTGGCGGAAGCTCGGCGGAAGGCGGTGGAAGTAAAAGATGCGCCCCCAAGAGATGAACATGTTTTTGGGTTCGGGGTTTCCAGAATCGCCCAATTGTAGAAAATGTCTTGCTTGCCTTCCTCTTGTCCTGCGCGAGTTCGGCGGCGGAAATAAAAAAAGTACGCCCCCAAGAGACGACAACGTTTTGGGGCTCGGGGCTTCCCGAATCCGACACGCGGCGAGGTAAGGTGGAACCGGATGTTTTTCTGCCTCCCAGCGTTGCCACGCTGCGAGCAGGGTGGAGCAGCATGTGTTCCTGCCCCGCTGCGTTGCAACGTACCGGGCAGGGTGGAGTATCCCCCCTCTCAGGGGCTGCCCCGTGGGGTGCACGGTGGAGCAGTACCTGTTTCCCTCCCGAGCGATGCGACGTGGCGACTGGAGTGGAGCGGTATCTGCCTCGTTCCCCTGGCGTTGCCTCGTGGAGAGTGGAGTGAAGCTATGGCGAGAAGGGGGCCGTCCTCGTCGAAGGGGTCGCGCGAGCGGAGGCGTTCTCGCGACTGCGCGGAGGTCGGAAAAGCCCAGCGGCGACCCAGGTGAGCCATGGGCTGCCGGCCTCTGGGGAGTCTTGACAGCCTCCAGGGACTCCGAGGCGGCCAACACTGTTGCTGTGGTTGTTGTTGTTGTTGTTGCTGTTGCTGTTGTTGTTGTAGTGGTGGTTGTTATTGTCGTTGTTGAGGTTGTTGTTGTTTGTGTAGTCGTTGTTGTTGTTGGTATTATTGCTGTTGTTGTTGTTGTTGCTGTTGCTGTTGTTGTTGTTGTTGTTGTTGTTGTTGTTGTGTTGTTGTTGTTTTTGATGCTTTGTTGTGGTGGTGGTTGTTGTTGTTGCTGTTGTTGTTATTGTCGTTGTTGCTGTTGTTATTGTTACTGTTGTACAGTCGGGGCCCTGAAGAAGGAACCCTTCTGGTTGGGGAGGGGCTCCGCGTTCCTCAAGTGTTTCACAGCTTGCCTCAGGTCTTCCTTATGTTTTCGATAGGAAATCGAAGCTTAACTTATGGAAAAAAGGGGCCTCGTTCCTTACTTAGGGTTCCTTAGGTCAACGCCCCGACGGTAGTTGCTGCTGCTGTTGTTGTCGCCGTCGTCGCCACCGTTGACGTCGGCCCTCGAGCCTCGATCCCTGCCGGCGGCCTGCGCGACCCAGACTTCCGACGACTCGCTATGGCCAGGTGCTCGTGTGGGACAGCTTCCCCCGATCGAAAGGACTATCAAGCCTGCTCGGATGCTGATGTGTTCTGTGTGCCAAGCGCAGGTAGCTTTCGCCCTCCAGGGGCTCTTCAGCTGAAACGGCACTGCACAGAAGCATCGGATGAAAGGTCGCTCGCATGTACAGCTTTCCTAAAAAAATCATCACACCTCCTTTCTTGACTTTCTTTGAACGTTTTCTCTTGACGGGCGAAGAAGGGTACAACATAAACTTTTTCGCTGTCGGGGGCGCCTGTCCCTGGGCGGCTGGAAAGTTTATACCCCGACGGTGCCACCGTAAGGGTATAAACTTTCCAGCCGCCCTGGGACAGGCGCCCCCGACAGCGAAAAAGTTTATTTTATACCGTTCTTCGCCCGTTAACTCTCGACGGAAGATGAAAACATACAAAAACCTTTGGTTCGGCGTTTCCAAGCTTCTGCAAGTCTGGGCATGCCGCCCCCCCCCCCCGAGGCGCCGCAGCTCTCAGATACCTCCTGAGGCCTCCTGGGACTCTGAGGCGGCCGACATCTTCGTCGTCGCTGCGTCGCCACCGCCGTTGCCGTCGCCGTTGCCGTCGATTCGTCGCCGCCGACCTTTCGCACGGATCGGTTCTGGGGTTTCTGCCTTTTCTGGAGTTGGGGACTTCGTCTGCAACGCGACGATGGGCTTCCCGGGGGATTTTGGGTTTCGATTGTGCCGATCCCTGGCTTCGCCCGATCTGGAATTCAGGTTTCGCCAGAAAAAATCCAGACTTCGCCGCTCGACCATCCCCGGCGCGCCGTCGCCTGAGAGCGGCGGCGGCGGCGGCGGTGGAGCGCGCTCGTGCTTGGCGCCGTGCTCCTCCCCATCCCGCGGAATCGCATCCACCCCTCCTCGTCGTCCACCTCCCGCCTCCCTCTTTGTCCTCCTCGCTCTCCTGGGCGCGGACCTGGTGGCGTTCGCGGGGGCCTCCCTTCAGGCGGGGAGGTCGGGGAGCAGGATGTGTTGAGTGGCGTGGAGACGGCGGCAAGACAGAGATGGCGGCGACGCCGAGACAAGCAGAAGGAGGAGGAGGAGGAGGAGGAGGTAAGAGGAGGACGAGAAGGAGCAGGTAAGCGGAGAAGGTGGGGGAGGGGGAGGAGGAAAAATAACAGGAGGAGGACGACTACTATGATTATTACTACTAGTACTACAACAACTACTACTACTACTACTACTACTACTACTACTACTACCACTACTACTACTCCTGCTCCTACTCTTACTGCTACTACTACTAGAACTACTACTACTATTACTACTACTACTACTACTACTACTACTACTACTACTACTACTACTACTACTACCACTACAACTACAACTACAACTACAACTACAACTACAACTACAACTACTACTGCTATAATGATAATTACTACGACTACTACTACTACCACCACTACCAATACTACTACTACTACTACTACTACTACTACTACTACTACTACTACT